AGACAAGAAAACAAAAGAGAAAGTGAATAAAATAAGCGCTTTATGAGTGTCTATTAAAGTAAGGGTAGCCTGAAAAAAAGCCTTAAGAAAATGCCGGCTTACTTCGAATTTACGATTTCAATTTTTCCCCCAAGAGGTACGTTTTGTTTCAACTTTCAAATCTCAACCTTTCGCTCAACTGATTAGCAAATGATAAGCTCGTTATAATTCATTCAGGAACTGAAAATAATCTTTATTAAAAATGGAAAACATACATTTCGACTACACCAACTAAGGCCCCGTCCACACTATGCCGAATAAATTTGAATCCGCAACTTTCACACCGAAACCGAAAATAAAGTTTTCCGTCCACACATGAAAACGGATAAAATGTTTCGCGTCCACACTAGTCCGATCAGAGGTGGCAAAGACGCTTTATTGCACATCTGAGAATGTGCATCGAAGCTGAAATTGAGCCCGCGGTGAATTTTTAGCCTTCCCGCCATGTTCCCATGACAATCATGACGTCATCGTATTCGAAAAATTTTGGATACGAAATGTTCTCCGTCCACACTATTAATACGGCTGGCCGGCGTTTTCAAATTTTTCAAAAATTCGTTTTCGGTGAAGAATTGTTCTGGATTCGCCCGGACTAGTGTGGACGGTAGGCCTAAGACTACCCCAAAAAATGTTCATATAAATAAGCCAATCACGATTGATTATTTAAACAATAGAATGTTATAAATCTATAATTTGTTTGGGTTGCCTTGTTGTTAATGTAGTTGCACTGCAGAAGGTGGTAACGTTATATTTGCTAGCGGAGAGAGAATTCGAGAAAAAAACTACTTGAGAAATTAATTTACAAGACGCTTTTAGAAAGATTATCTTGAAGAGTTCGCTTAGTTAAAACGCTTTGTGTAATAAACAATCGTCAATAACCAACTTGAGAAATTTCTTGAACCTCTTGATTGCCTCTTGAGCAAATGAGTAGGATGTAGACAAGAACTCATTAATTCGTACTGTGTGGAAAAGTGAAGTGGAATAGATAGAGACCAATTATTGTGAGGATATGTTATTGATAGTCATGAAAAAAGTTACATAATGTTAAAGGAAAAGAGAGGGGAAAACGCGGAAACGATTCAAGTTTTAATGGGCAAGGAATGATGATGGTGAAAAAGAGGATGTTGATAAAGACGAAGATAATCGTGATGGCGACGACGAGTATATGAAGAGGAAGGAGAAGAATAGAAAGCGAAGAAAATTTAGTGGGGAGGAAAAAGGAAGGAGAATGAAGAGAGAACGAGAACGAGAAGAAGAAGGGGGAGAAGGTGTAGAAGAAAAAGAAGAAGAATTATTAAATAAATGAGTAAAATCGAGGATGCGGAGGAAGAGAAGAAGAGTTAAAATGGAGGGAAAATAAGAAAAATGACTTTGGTAAACCAGGAAGGAAGAAAAAAAAAAAAAGAAAAGAAAAAAAAAAGAGAAATGAGAAAAAAATTAACAAATCTCATTCCTTGACTATTTTTAGTGAAAAGTAAACAAAACTTTACGTTCGTGAAAGAACCCAGTTACACGATAAAACATCGGAAATAGCAACGTCAGTATAATAGTCTCGTCTCCCTTTACCAATCTGACAATATTGTTTATGTCTACAGACAAGCTGCTTTCGCGATAACTGAGTTTCTAAAAAAAACGTCGGTGTTTACAGCAAGTTTTTTCGTTGTTTTGCCGACAGTTTTCTTCAGAATGTTCTACAAGGAATGCAAGTTAAATAGGAATTTTAATCTATTCTTGATTGACCGAAGCTATGACCTCAAATATATTCCCCTTTCAAAATTAGTGGCCTAAGATTAAGCTTTTCCTCTCTACRAAAATAAAGCACTAAATTCCTAATTCAATTGCAGTGCAATTTTCATAAACATGCGAACTGTGTCTGCGAGCTTCACACTGAAATTTGGTTTTTTGCTGTCGTCAATCAAACCTAATCGATCAGTACCTTTCATATTTTTGACCAGCAGCAGCGAAAAACCAAATTTCAGCGTGCAACTTGGAGACACAGAGAGTTCGCATGTTTTATGAAAATTGCAGTAGCATACAACTGAAAAATTCCCATTAGATTATTAGAATATTATTAATGCATTTAAAACAGCGAAACATTTTTATTACAAATACAATTTTACACTGGCATTATATACTTCTTTCACAACATTCTTTTGTGATAAGGAATTCTGCAAGGGATTCTGGTAGCAAGTGACGTCATCATATTGCTATTATATTATGGTTTACTTTGTGCATTTATTACAAAAGACAGAAACAATGATTTTGAACATAAAATCTACAGTACACTGTGCTTTAGATAGGCATCTTCCTAGCTAGAGTTTGAAAAGTTTCTGTAAATTGACTTCTTCAAAAAGTTTCAAGATGGCTCAGCAAATTGTGAAGGTGGCTACTCGTTATGATTAATAAATGATTCATTAATGAAATTCGAAAAAAGCATTTAATTATTTTTATAAATTAGTGTCATGAAATCCTACTTGTATCAATACTATCATAACTTTGAACCATTGCCTGAGTGCAAAGAAAGGTTAATGTACAATGACGTCATTACAAGTTTCTTGATTGGTTAGTGTCAGCCTTGCAAAAAATGGCATAGAAATTTTACTTGCTTTGACCTTTAGCAGGAATGAAAAGAAACTTGGCTGACAGGGTGGGGAATATTTCAAAAGTCTTCTCGATTGAGGCTTGCTAACTAAATTTAACATAACTACCAAGAAAATGTTCAATTTCTTAATGACCTTTTTTTCATTTTGGGACACTTTTCTGTTTCCATGGAAACCTTCTTTTTACATGCATTGTGGAATTTAATTCATTATTGTCATTGTTTGGTTTTCTTATTCGCCACTTTTGATAAGTGCGCATCTTATCTTGTACATGAGATAGAAGAATAGCTGTGCCACTAAGAATCCAACTCCAATATAAACAGCCAACCATGCAGTGTAGATGATAGGCGTGTTGCCAAACTCCAATGAAGGGAAGGTCGTAGGGTTGCCTTTGAGATCGGGCACCTCCGTTAGAATATAAATGATTGTGAAAACTACATACACAGCACCAAATATGTTGGCATAGATCACATGCAACAGACGCACAGGGAACCCATGAACGAACGAATCGATGAACATGACCAAAAACGGTGCAATGTGCTGGACTAAGTCAATGTAGCCCGCTATTGTAAAATGGAGGCCGTGAAACCAGAAAGAAAAGTAAGCTACCAGAACGACGACAGAGGTGTCAGCAGCGATGGAATTAAGGACCCAGAGGACCTCATGATGCCAGGCCAGGAGGTTCAATCTTGGTAATTTTCGTGATAAATCTTTGTCATCATCCCTTTCCCCAGGCCTTAGCGCACATGATGTATCACCCAATGGATGCTCCAGAAAATGATATCCAGAGGTCTTTGAAGTACCCTCAGAAGATTGAACAAGGGAACTGCCACAAAGCAACTGCCATATTGAAGTCAAGCATCCGAATATGAAGTATAATGCTACAAACGCTAAACTCCAGTAGGCAAAGTGCAGGATGATGAGATATGACTGGTATTCAAGAACCACATAGACATAAGCAGCAACAAAAAAAGATCCAAGGAAAGCTCTATAGAAGATGAACAGTGGCAGAGGCAAGGCCTAAAAGAATGGAAAGACATTAGAAACAAGAAATGGCTCACAAGTGGGCCCAAAACCCTATTAAAGACTTGGGGATCTGTTATGTGATCCACTATAAGGGGAAGAGAGAGAATTTGGAACTTCAGTTCTTGTAAGTAGTTTTACTGATGTTTCATGCATGCATCAATATGCATGTAGTCGTATGTCTGTACATAGCACATACACTATATGGTGAATAACGACAGACCATAGTCAGGATCTCTTATTGAACAGGCTGCTCACTTTCCAATTATCCCCAAGGAATTTTGTTTTAATGGAGTAGCAAAAAAATTAGCATGACAAAGAAAGAAAGATTTAAAAGATTTTCCTATTGTTAGTTCAGTATTCTAACCCTTCAGTAAATAACTAAAATATCTGTCGGGATGGGATGCCGGTATTCAGTGATTAAATAATGGTAATCATTGTATTTTTTTTGTTTTGGCGAAGCTTTTGTATCAAGCAGTTAGCTGATATTTGACTTTAAAAAGTTGGTCACAACAACTTCAAGAAATGCTTGGATGACCACCTTCATTAATATATTATCAAAGTTACTCCATCAAAATTTCTGAAATTTTTCCTGGGTAAATTTGTTTTGCTTTTATAGGACCTGAACGCTAAGACAATAATATTTTTCTGTCCTAAATTATAATAACCAAGTTTCAGAGGAATATGCCGAGGATTATACCCAAAGTCACCCACTTGTAAAGGAATTAAATTTGATTTTAAGGGAGTTGTTTGTAGAAAGCAGTTCTTCACCATAGTGAGATAGGACCTTAGTTGATTTGCAAGGTTTTGTATCGACAATTCATCTTATTATCTTAAATAATTTAGGGAAATTATATCCCAAACTTGTACATGCAAAAACCTTTAATATCAATGCACATTAGCTGGTTGAGATAGCTATATTGTGTGCTATACTTGAGTGATATATTTACCATAATCAAGCAAAAAAGTGCATAATTAGACAGAAAGGGAATGTTTGTCAAATTTTCAAGCTTTTATAGAGATAGTTTGTGTGACTTTTATTGAAAATCTTTACATTATGTAATGATTTGAGCATGATGATGCATGAGATGCACTTATGCATGTCAAGGTTTAGATCAATAATGTTTTCAAAACTACTTGAAATTTTCATTCCAAAGTAGTTAATTCCACAAGGAATCATCGCGAAAGACAAATAACAGGTAAATTACAGAATTAAAGTAGCTGTAAACGTTTTTGGTTTTGGTAATAAGAGTCGGGGGGAAAACGCCAAAAAGTGTCATAAAAATCAAAAGAGGAAATCTGTGTAACACTTGATTGGTTGATTGAATAACTAGATGAATTTTAATTTCTAAGTTCTCCAAGTTCTTCTAGCTTCCCCTCGCTTTGTACAATCAGTGAAATCCTTTCCCAGCTACTGAGTTACGCTGAATTTGTATATTAAGAACATTTTTTGCTGTTTCTATGTTGGTATTATTTTGATTTTCTTACGACTCGGTTGACCTTTTCACGACAACATAAGCTCACCACAACAGCTTTAGAACCGAACCATTTCTTAAAACAACTACTTTTTATAGTCTTAACTGTATTAAAAGCTTTAAGACTTAATAAATGAGTGTTTAGAAGGATAAGGAAACATTAATAAGAAGAAATTTTAAAGAAATTCCGATACAAAAACACTCAAAGATGATCCATCCGGATATTCGAACTTCACGCTCAGTTGCTACCATCAACCGCCAAAACTTTGAGTTAAAAATGTTAATAAATAATATTTTATCTTACTTACCGGGGATTCACTGAACGCTCTAGGTTCATGGAACTTCAAACCAAGGTTTCTGATGTCTAATTCTCTGCACAAAGCTCCACAACACGACCCCATGATAACAAGTTCGAGTTTGAGTAAATTTGGAATAATGCCCGTGACGAGTCAATGAATAAATTAATTTGCATTACAAATAAAAGCGGGAACGATCCTGATTGGTCGAGAGAAGTAGGAGGGAAGAAAGGAGTTGCTGCATTTTACTGCGACGAACTGCTTATTATCTTCGTAGAGAAATTTCAAGCGCTTCTCCTTTGCTTAAAATATTTCAATTTGATGTGTTTGTCTTTTCTCGGCACAGAAACGACTCACAGTTTGTGGTACTAGAAAAATTGGTTCGGCAGTAATATTCGACGATTTCTAAAAGGGATTGTAATCGATCTAACAGATCTAAAGTATTAATTATATCTTTCTAAGAGAAAATTTCAAGCGATCCTAAACAAAATGCAGCCACTTGATCGATCGCTTAAAATGCAGCAATTCGTTTCATATTTGCAGCGACTTTTTCTTTAAATGCAGCAACTCGTTTCTTCTTTGCAGTAAACTATAACCCTTGTTTAACGTGCAGCAGCAGCAACTCATTTAACTTGCGCATGCCCTTATGCCGCATAGCTGGGTGGCCCCGGAAATGTAGAAAGGAATCCTGATCGAAGACCCAGCAAATGGGATTGAGTTGTGTCTTTGCAAGTAAAATAGCTAAGGATTTCCTGTTCTGGGATTAGGATTTAGGTTAATGAGAATGAGAAATAAACAGCCATACTTAGGAGTTCCCCAACGTTCGTCAATGGGACCGCGGCATTATTGATTAAATGCAATTTAAATTTTTGACGAAAAATATACGTACAGATCTGACTTCGAAATGTTTATTTGTTAGTATTCGTTACTCATATAATAACAAGAGATACATAGCTTTTGATTGCACAGTTTACACTGATTCCATTCTGAGCTGATGACGTCACTGGTACACTAAGAATGTTACAAGATGACATCACTACAGAAACTCTACACAATGGTTATTACAAAGAATTTAATTGTGGGGTTTTATAATGTTTTATGACAAATAAGGTGAGTTAATTCCTGTCAAATAATCCTTCCTGTCTGCCATCTTTTATAGTTCACAAATATCTTCAATAACTGAGGGGCTGTGTTTCTGGAGTACTTGGTCTTCTCTCCATTTCAGAAATCGATAAAAATCGCAGACAGCTCCAAGTGCCTCTCTTGGCTAGAACGAGAAGAAGAAAAAAAAAAAACATTAAAAAATATTTATATGTAAAATAGGTCTCTTTCACTACGAGGTCTTATATATTAAGACAACACACCCAAGACCATATGAACATTGTACCTCAAGACGCAAAAGGGCCCTTTTCTTTCGGACATATTTCCCCCCATTTTCAACGTTCGTAGTTTTTCACGACTGATTGAGGTCTTTCGTTTAAGCACAAAAGATATTATGTGCCGGAGTGGTTGTTGATATAAGAAAGAAATAATACTAAAGCGAATGAAATGGTCCAAATTTCTAAAAATAAAGTTTCGAGAATTCCAAATTGAAAAAAAGTTAAAAGTTATATGAGTAGCTGACAGGAAGCTCTTTATTAAGAAAAAAAAAAAAAAATCAAAATTTCAGCTAAGAGAAAGCATTTCAAATGATCAAATTTTGATCGAATCGAAAAAAAGGCTTATACCAATCGAACAAAAGTTATTTTATCTCACCTTTTGGAAGTCTCGTTTTCCACTCTTTGAGGTTTGCACCTTTCTAACCTTTCCACCAAGCCCAGCAGAAAATCCTTCATTTTGTTGTACAGCCAGAAGAACCAGAAGTAAGACGATCAAAAGACTATTCATAATGACTTAGGAGACGTTACAAAAGCTAGCGCCTGGATTTTAGGGACTATGTTCAAGACTATACCAGAGAAAAGTGTGTTATTTATGCCATGTGATATGCCCTGCTGACCAAAGCGTTGGACAACAGATGGTTGACTTAGGATCAAAATTACGTGTCTATTAGACACTTCTTGGAGTTAATACATGAGGATATGATAAGAATAATATTGAAGGGTTGAGTAACTTGTGGGTGGAAACTCAACAAAATTAGTAATTGGACAAATTAAATGATACATTAGTCCAGTCGTAATTTAAAGTACTCGTGCAGATCTCAGTATGATTATTGAAATAATGCTTTGCTTGTGTATCTGTGGACTAGTACTAAACGAAACTATTGCACTGTTATGTGTAACTCTCAAAAGCTTTTACTCCTGCTGGAAGCCAGGGCGGGATATATAGAATCTTGATAAATAATTGGTTTTGGCAAGTGAACAGTTATATTTTTCGAGGTGTTTGCAATGAGAAAATTAGGGAGTAAAGGAAAAGTAAAGAAAGAGCTCTTTCGATTTTTTTTTCAAAAATGATTTAAGTGTAGCTTGAGGCAACGGATAGAGCCGAATAAAAACGTTTTACTTATTAGAACTCTTGTCTTAGATAATGGTATTAACAAGTAAATATCATTAGGACTGAAGGCGCTAGATATAGATTACGTAATGTTCGAAAGTTGAGTGGGCCGGAATTCAAAATAGATACGAAACGATTAGATAGCAGACTAGGATGTAAACGACTAACTAAAGTTCGGGACTGAGAATTAATAACTTAGCAAGAACTTACCACGAATTTTTTTAATTAAAGAAAGATGAAGAAAAAGTAAAGAAAAGTGGAGAAAGCCAACCTTCTTATAAATCTCAAAGCCGGTTCTTCCAAAAATGCCTTTAAATTCTTACAAATCATCAGTCTTGTTCGTGTATTTATCACAACTGCTTTTGCTTATTTGAAAACTAGTATGGTGGCTCTTGACACGTCACTTCATTTTGCTCTTAACTTTTAAGAAATGATTAAGATATAACTTGTATTTAGTAGTTAGGTAGGCTTAAACCGTTAAAATCGTGCGAGGTCTGCGTGAGACTCGTTAAAAATAAATCAGACAATCATCTTCGAAACTGATATTGAATTCAGATTAAGATTTCCTGAAGCGACCTGAGTACAAAGTTTTAATCAATTATAAAGTTTTGATTGCAGCTGTTGATCTAACTCGAGCGGAATTTCTTTGGGAATTAAGTGATCAGTACCCGCTCGGTTCCACTTAACTACAGAGGCGTAGTCAACAAAGCTTACGACACAAGGACTAAGGAAACAGCGTTGTTTTTTAATGTAGTTTATACTATGATTGTCGAAGACTGTGCTAAGTAAATTGATGTTTTCGGTTTTGAAGTTTGGGATTTTTCAATTTTAAGTGGCCCCCGGGGAAGGACTCGGATATCGCTCTGCATCATTACTTGATAGCTGACAACTTGAAAGAATGAAARAGCATTAGCATTTGTTTTTAAAGGGGTGGAACTTGAATAGTTATAACAGAAGTATATCAGTGCACGTTCTGAACGATCTTGTCTCACGATGGGTTGTGACATGATGATGTCGTTAAATAAAATTAATTTAAAGTATAAAAGGAAATTCTTGTAGTGAGCCGGGTAACATTTGTGGCAGTTTCTAATCGAGAAATGACTATAAATTTATGTTAAAATCTGTGTTGAACTTCTCGACATGAGAAGGCACCGTAATTTCATGTGGTCACGTTATATTTACATACCAAATAGACGTAAAAAGCAAAGAAGGGATGAAAGAAAGAGATAGAGAGAAGAGAGTATAGATTTTCCACTTGTCTCATAATAAGAAAGCGYATCGTAAACCGAAAACGTGTTCTGTTTTGTCCCATCGTGTAACATTTGTTAAAACCCTCGTTTTCTTAAAGGAAAAAAGTATTATATGCAGGATCTTGAATCTTTATACGATAGAAAGAATGAAGAAACGAGCGACTGAAGGGTTGAAAGACCGATCGAGCAATTGAACGAACGAAAGAAAGCTAAACGAACGAGCAAACGTATCAAGCAACGAACATATCAGCGATCGAATGAACTGACAGCTATGGATAACTGAATATGGGAACAAAAAGGAACAAAAAACAAAACAAAACAAAAAACATCGAATTTTTGTCAATGCTATTTACGCATGCGCATCAGCAAAGCCGTAGCTTATTTTTGGAGAAAACTCTGAGAGTCTCCGCATCTATAGTTTTAAAATTTTGGTTGGTTTTGATTGGTCGCTTATAGAAAAAGCCCTCGAAGTGTTTACTAGCATCCTACACATTTCATGCTTTTAACAATTGCATTTTAGAGCAAAATTGTACTTATTTTTAAACTGGAAAAAGACGTACAGCCACATCACTACAGGAAGAGGGCGGGAGATGGAGCGGAGTGGAATAAAGTGCGCACTAACATTTCTTGTACCTAAAGAAAATAAGTTACATTGACCATACTGCAGTTAGCAACAAGTAGTTTGCATTAACATGAATAACGTTTATCTATGACCAAAACTAATTAATCATAAATTAATCATAAATGAAATGCATTTAAACTGATCCTATTAAAGAATCCTGGTCAAATACAATTATGCATTGCGGGCCGGAAACGACCGGACTGTCATTCATGGTCTCTTGATGCTATGCCTAGCGCCAATTTCTCTACCAGGCAAAATGGCGGTTTAGTAGGTGAAGTTTGGGAATCCAGTTCCATCGGTCTTGTTATTCCTTCTAGATGTGTTATGACCATCATGATATACTGATACTTAGTCACTTAAAGCTTTTCGCGAGATTTGAGAACTTTTGGCAACGCGCGAATCTAAGGTAGATTTCGAAAGTCGTGATGTCTCATGGCAATTGGACGGCCGAAAAATCAATTTCATCACAACTGAAGAGTATCACTCTTCCCGTTTCATTCCACTAGTATTTTATACAGTATTAACTTGTTGTATTCATTGCACCACGGAGTCCAAACTAGTTATTTATTATTGCTACTGATGAAATTAGTCATAGATATACATCTTGCATGCTTCAATCTTAGTTTATATTCTTAGTTATAATATTTTATGGTAAGATCTTTTAGCATTATTTCCCGGGCGTTTAGTCGTTTATCGTTTGTATTTTATCGTCTATTTTCGCGGGAGGAGCGGTCTTCGAAATCAGGGTACTCGAGGTGTGGTGGATAGCGGCGGATTGAATCTTGATTGCAACTTGCGGGGTTGCCTGAGCGACACTGGGGAGAAAAATTAAACAGCTCAGTCAACGGAAAGGAAAAAAGACCCTCGTACGCTTTAAAATTATCGCATAGTCATAGTTTTTGTGGGAGAAAATGTTGCAGGCGAATTAAAATTAATTTGATTTTTACAATTTAGAAATTTCAGAGGACTAAGATATGGGTACGCTAACTGATTTCAATATTCGATCTGAGTTAGCCATGTCCTGACTTAGATCAGCCCAGAGGTTGTTTCAGGGTTCGATCTGTGAGTTAGCCATGCCTTGACTTAGATCAGCCCTGAGGTTGTTCCAGGCAATTTGATGTATTCATCAGAAGTTCTTCATAGGTTCTATATAATAATATGATTAAAAAAAAGTCGAAATAACTACTCTTACCCCAAGACGGAAAGATCTTTTCCCATATCGGGCTCCACCAGTGAAGGCGTCAGTTTGAACCACGAGGAGAAAAGCGAACAGAATGGCAACACCAATCTTCATAATTTTAGCTGCGTTTTCTCACGAAGTTACCCTGAATCAAAGTGACCAAAGTGAAGAGAAGCACTTGTATTTGTACTTCTAGACCGTATTTATCCAACACCAAAACAAGGAAACAGTTCAATTATTGCGGGATTAGGACAAAGGTAAACACTTGAACATGCTAGAGTATAATAGCACTCCTACCTTGACTAATCATATGATATTCAGTAATATTTCTGTTATGGCAATTTGGCACAATATCCTGGAAAACGCCTACTATATCATAACAAGGAAACGTTCTCCATAACGTACCATCCTTTTTTCATTTGAAGCGTTACATCATTACCTGTTCAGCATGGGGTCTTTGAGCGCCGATCAACGCGTACTGTAAACAATTTTAAACCAAAAAGTACAGAATATTATGTAATTATTTAATCTTATCTGACCTTATATGAAAGTGAAAAGGAGAGGGRCGAACAGACTTCCAGTTGTTGTTTATCTGGGTTGAAATTCACCACATGCTACTCAACTCACGGTAATAAACTTGATTATAAACATGAAAAAAATAGATTGAAGTGGGTGACTGTTTTACCTAGAAAGACACGCCTTCTGGAACAGCTAGAATCATGACATGATACATTACTCTAACAGTCATCATGTTGCCAGTACTGAAACGGTTGGCGAAGAAATAGTCGATGGGGTGAATTGAGTGGCTGGCAACTCAAACCTTTTGGAGTTTTGAATAAAGAATGTAAAACCAGTAAAAAGAAACTATAAGACCCTAGATTACTGCTGCTTGCGTTGGTGTTGAAGGATAATGAGGAATGACGTGTTCTTTTAAAAAGAATACGGACGTAAAACGTAAAAATAGACTTTCTAAAATGTTTGTTTTTAAATACATATTTTACGCTTCTTGTTTACTCCTAATTTATAGACCGGGGAAGTATAATATCTTGACCGGGCATCAGAAAAGACTAAACAAATCGGATTTGAAATTAAACTTAATCAATTGTTGGTAAAAATTTAAGTGTTATAATTTGATAAAGGAGTGAGTATGATAAAATGGAAAATAACCATAATCAAACAAAGGATGTTTTCGTTGCTTTGTTAGTCATGCTTTATTTAATAAAATATAACGTTAAGGTTTAATGTACTTATGGTTATATATTAAGCAGATGGCAGAAAATGGCTAAGTTCATCATAAATGCATGCGATATATCGTAAAGAAAAGGAAAGGAAAGGAAAGAAAAGAAAAGAAAAGAAAAGAAAAGAAAAGATACTCACTTACTATTGTTGATCAACACTTACAACATCGATCAGACAACCTACTTGAAATGTGTCTAAAGATTTAAATAAGGAATGTCAAGAGGATAGATAAGCTCTTCACACTAAAGATTAGAAAGAAAGAAAGAAAGAAAACTTCGAACTAACTAACGTTCGAAAAGTTTTCCTTTAGTGTCGTGTGGAGAGGCAGAGGTGGCAAATTTAAATATATTTTATCGAGTCGGAGCTGCGGCTTCCTATTCTTGTGGGCATAAAGTAAAATTTATATTTTTCAATCCCATTTTCCCAACACACACACACACACACACACACACACACACACACACACACACACACACACACTTACACAGNACACACACACACACACACACACACACACAAAACAGTTTTTATTGCAGATCATTTTTCTCATCAGCTCTCTCTGAGATATTTCATTTTCAGTGTGAACAAAATGGCAGATGAGATAAGTCTATACGAGTTCTCTGAGGCTACTAGGCTTTCCGATTTGACAAATACAAAAGAAGATGCCAGATACCCTTTCGATCTACTAAGAAAAACAGTTTAGCAGTTGAAGACGATTTTGAATTGGTTGTGTGAGAAGATGTGTAATATCGTGAATATCGTGGGCAGTGCTGCCTGCCCCTTTGAACCGGGATATCCGATAAACAACGAAAGTTTACTGAGGTAATAGACTCCTCGACAAGGGATCAAAGCAACAGGAAGAAAATAACGATAATTAAATACTACGGTACTATAGTACAAGATGGTCTTTATACTTACAGAGTATCAATCTTCCTCACATATGGCTACCAAAGTGAATAGGATAAAGTCCAACTATTGGAAAGAAAATAGAGCATTTCTAACTACTTTCATTTTGAATAGTTTTGAAGACAAAGTATCTTCATGTTCAAAGTAAACAAAACGATTAGCACAGCTTGTAGTATGTTTATTGCACGCTTTCCGGATTTAATCCTGCAAATTTAATCAAACGCATCGAAGATAAATTGGTTAAAAAATTCTWTTGAATGACGAGCTTCCTTATTTTGGATATAGCTCAGTAAGAGTTAACAGTCAGTTACTGGAGGTCGGCTGCATGCAGGCTAAGTAAAATGAAGCGTATAAATATGGCCTTAAGGAACAAGGATTTTACATCATCGCAGAACGCTACAGAGAGAACCTACAAACAAAGTCTAAAATGAAGTTTTTGGTTTTATTGGCTTGTTTTTTGCTCGTACTTCATCAGACGGATGCTTTCATAGGAGGTGTAAGAGCAGGACGCTCACCAACTAAAAGATCACCATTACCACAGGTAAGTCTATTTTCTTGGCTTTCTGAGAGAGAGAGAAAGAGAGAGAGAGAGAGAGAGAGAGAGAGAGAGAGAAAGAGAGAGAGAGAGAGAGAGAGAGAGAGAGAGAGACCGTACCGCACTCGGACGTAACTTGCCCAAGCTATAGGATCCATCTAATGGCTTTAATCACATCTTTTATAAGGTTACGTCTCAAATCGTTAAGATCAAGTTAATAGACATTTTTACCTTGGGCGTAACTCGTTCAAATGTCACCATGTGTCACTCTTTAAAGCATAACATTCTTTGTTTGAATTGTATCCTTATTTATGTGTCTTCTCATGGCCAAACGTTGGAGAAAGAAATGATACTCTAGGGAATGACACGCGGTCTGTTATGCATTGGAAAGCATTACTAAAAGAGTCTATTCCCTTGGTTTTTCTCTTTTCTTCTTTCAGGCAAGAAACGACCCGAACAGTTATCTTGATGATGAGAAAAGGTTTCTGTTAAAGTCACGATACCCTAATGAAGTTGAAGAAATAGTCTAGCGTGAAATATGAAACTTCGACGCCTTACTTAATTGACAACGAATCTAGAAATATTGCATAAATAAGACACTAATAAACTCAGTTCATTTTTTTCTGTTTGTTTTAAAGCTTAATAAAGAAAAATAGAATCAAAGTAAGGGTGTTAGTGTGGTGACTCCGTTTGCAAATGATCCTGTTCCCGATGAGCCCACGTTCCTTTTAGTCAGCACCAAAGAAACGAAAGGCTTACCCTGACCACAAACGCTTGGAATGGAATCCATCCTTGGATCAATCTAACCTGTACAGTTTTCTGATTTTGACTGACACAACAATGAATCGGAAACAGAAAAAGCTGGTCCATTCTAGGGCTCACCCAGACCTCTCGCTTGTTTCTAGGCGAAAAAGAAATGCAGGTCCTGGGAACGAGAATCGCACCTTAACTTAAACAAGTGTCAGACTTTATTGGCGTTTTTTGCTCTTTAACGGTTCACTAGTTATCAATTTTTACTACTATAACTGTAGTAATTTCCCAAGGCAATTCTCTATTGATTTATATCGTTAGTCAAAAGGAAATGCTTAAACTGTATGCCATCTAGCCATTTCCTTAATCACCTGGATTGCGAGTATGCCATCTAGCCATTTCCTTAATCACCTGGACTGCGAGAATGCCATCTAGACAAATGCAAAGTTTCAGCCCATAATATGGTATGCAGGAGAAATGGGATTAAATAAAATAAATGGAATATATTAAATTTTAAAGTTTATGTATGTGTGTATTCGGGCGCGGGCTTCGAGTCGGCGCAAATTAAGACCCCGTCCACACGTATCCTGAAATTTTCGTATCCGTATCCGGAAATTTTCGAAAACGGTCTCCAGAGTGGAAATTTTCGAATGCGCTCCGAATACGGATTCGTGTGGACGGTCGTATCAGCAAATTTTCGAATACGATGACGTAAACAAGATTTTGAGCATGCTCAATAAGAAAAACTATCCGTCAAATGGACTAGGGACTAGCGTGCATAGGGGCGGATCAAGAAATTTCCGGATACGCCTGGACAGTGAAAACGATTTGAAAACGATTCGAATACGCTGCGTGTKGACGCAAACAAAAACAATTTGCGGATACAAAATTTTCCGGATACGTGTAGACGGGGCCTAAATTGGCCAAAAATGTATTTTTTTTAAACATTAAAAACAAGTTTTAACTCATTAAGTTCTACCAGCGTTAATTCAAGATTATGAGATAATCATTTATTTTACATAGTTAAAATATTTCCAATAGATTTACTACAATTTCGTATATATATATATCAGTCTATCTGGCTCAAATTATAAAGTCTTACATCATATTTAAACACAAATAGCATATCTTCTGACCAACGTATTTGAACCTGTCTTCTATCTCTCGTTCTAAGTCTTCCAATAAATATCATTAATTACCAATGCTAATATTGGTTCGTAATATCTTATCCAGTTGATGATCTAATGTAATCAACGTCTCGTCTTCATTTGCATATTTCGCGTACGTTCTCGTAGTTTGGATATCTTGGGTATTGGGCATCCTGTGTGTGTAGTTCTCGAATGTAACGACACACCGTGCGCACAGCATCTTGGGACTGAAATCAAAAATGACACGTGAGAATCGCTAAAATATCGTGCTCATTAGCATTTCTGGAGGTGGGGCGTTGGAGTTGCAGGTCGCGTTGCATCATGGGGAATTTTTTTTTGGTGAACGCTTTAATACTTGTATTGTATCTTACGCTTGCTAATACTAATGATATTAGACTAACCAGTAATGGTAGGATTGTTTCCCTATGCGCGGCTAACATTATTTACATTTCAATTTAATGTCCATTAGTTACTTCATTAATTTAGTTATAGAAGTTTTTGCTTGAAAATTTCGTTGTACCTGGACGTGAGTTTTATTTTCTACGTTGAGTTTAAATAATATAAAAATAATTGTATCGAAGCTACCGGGCCATCATCGTTCGCATCACTGAGTGCGCGCTTACCATTTAATGCCTTCTCCGTCTTCATACCGCAATTACTCGTTTAAGCATCGCCCTCGAATAAACGCCGCCTCCCGAATTAACGCCGCATATGAGACTCAAAAAAGTTAAATAAGCTTAAACGAGTAGATATGGGCGTTATGCAATGCAGTACTTGGACTCAGATAGCATAGGACAGGACATTGACGCTTGAATTTGAATTGTAGAATTGGTATTGGTATTTTTATTTTTTAAATGTTTGTATTCACTTCGTAATACATGATTGGTTGCGCATGTATCCGTTAAACGCATTAAAAAATAATAACTTCGGATTAGCACCACCCTCGAATAAAGAACGCCTCCGAATCAACGCCGCATATGAAACCCCAAAAAATTTAATGAGCGCCGCGCCGCGACGCTTTAACGAGTAAATACATTAGTTTGTATGTGTGTTTTTTGAGCTCTTTTCAGCCCAGCACTTTTCACTCCTAATAATGGTTTGATGGTCCAAAAGCTTGGGAAAACATCATATAATGCTAAATTTAAAAAAAACTATACGTGGAAGCAGAATAACATTTTTTTTTTGCTTGTTCGTTCGTTTCTATCCGTGTTTCGAGCTTTCTTTCTTTCTTGACGGCATTTAAAGAATATTTTTCTTCCGGCCAGATGGCTACGTTGGTCACCATTTCTTGATTTTACAGCAAACATGATTCCAAATTCATGAAGGAATGAGGAAGAACGAAAAAGAAAAGTAGCCGCAATCACCAAAGAACCAAGAAAAAGAAACCAACGAAAATCTTATTTTCAAGCATTAAAAATAAAGCAACGAAAAATAAAATCGATGTTGGATTAAATTGCATGAAGTGTAATCAAACAGTTTCGTGTCTTTTAAAGTGCTTCCTTACCCAACGAAGGACTGACAACGTTTTTAAAGCTACTCACATAATTCCCGACATATATGATTTTATTTTAACATTAACTTCAATTTCTTACCTTTCTAAGTTCTCGCTTGCCAAAGTTTCCAATTCCTGCAGTGAAGGCGTCGACGTGTTGTGAAGCAAGCAGTGCAGCAATCAATAAAAATACAATAGCTTTCATTTTGTTTTAACGCTAAATTCTGATGGGATCCAAAATAAATGAGATGTTGTATTACTACTTGGGAATTTGAAGAGTGATTTTACTGCTCTATCGAGCTCTTTTTATACCATTTCTATCCAACGGAATGACGAGAATAATCTCTTAATAGGCCTCGGATAAGGAGATTTCCTTCATAGGAATTCACTCATTTCCTTTTCGCGCGTGTTAAGCAATTTACCCTCTGGGACGCATGGAAGATTTCCTGTCTTATTAGTAACGGTTCTTTTTGACGGTTAATTCGTTCCATTAAACAACAAAGAGAAAACTTCTCTATTAGTATTTTTTGTAGTGGGGAAGCAGAGGTGTAGGATTGTCTCTTTTATGATAAGTACTGTAAGAACTTCGTCAGTAAAAAGACGTAATAAAGCTTTTTAGTGAATGAATGAATTTTTTAGTAACGCGGTGCAAGAAACAGGAGATGGGACGCACTTAGGTTTATAGTTCCCACATTTCATTACGTCCATCAAATGCCTTCTGTTCATCTATCTATTTGTCGTTCCACCCATTTCTCTATCCATCCATCCATCCATCCATCCATCCAT